GCGTGGAACTCACACACTCGACCCAAACACGCCTACCTGTATTTCCGGAAGTGAAATATGATCATAGCACTTCAAAGGGCGCATTCAAAGGGTTACGTTCAGGTGGTCTTTGAATTACATAATAGTAAAATATGCCTAAACGCAGTACCAGTCGTGCAGTACATTGTTTCGAGAACGCAGCTAAGCCTTGGAAAGTCAACACCGTATTCGGTAAACCGATACACTTTACGGTCACCTGACTTGGCCCAATACCAGCAACCCGAGGCTCATTAATGGAACTTTTCCATTATAAATTACGCCTATGACGCAATATTGAACAGCATAAAAAACTTAAAACAATGATACACTATTTCGAAAATTTAATAAATAGACGTTATTATTGTATACGGTAAAATAATTAAAGAGCTACAGGATTTGTTTAGAGAAATCGGCGAGGCGTTGAGTAAACTATCTAATTGTTATGATAGAAACGTATATTAAAACATTGGAACTTGCCAAAAATGATCGTTATCGTAAAAAAATCAACTTTCGTTTTGATGTGAGGGATTGGGAAAATGGGATAAAACAAACGCGATAAATTTATTAAACACTTTGTTTTAACTAAAATACTGATTATTTGTTTCGTCAATAATAAGTGACGTGAAAATATTTTCAACTTCATCGAGTCATAAATTACAATAGCAACAAGTTCAGCATATTATTTTTAAATTTATTTTTTTGTGAAATTTATTTTCAACACATGTATTAAACCTGACACTAGTAGAAGACAATAAATTTGATTACAAGAACTAGATTTTAAATTTTTATAATGTTTAAAATTATTTTCCGAACAATGATTTGAGAAACGTTAGAGTGGAGTTTTAGGGACTTTAGTGATATTCGCCTCCTTAAAAAGTATAAAAATTTAATCTTAAGCTGAAGTAATAGCAACTACAGCTTAACATAATAATAATAATTAACTACTATAAGAACCTAAGTTATTGGAGTATGCCCTTCTATTGATCACAGAATGTATTTTCAAAATGAATCGATAGGCAATAATAAAATGTCAAAAATAATGATTTGTTAATATTTTTTCGACTGTAACACTTTCCCATTAAGAAATACTGACTACGTCACGCACTCAAGTCAAATACACACTTAAATCACCAACTTGAGATCCACTTAGGCTAATTTTCATAGAAAGATGAAAAACTGTTGAGAATATGGTATGTTTTCTGTAATGAACTATAATTCATAAACACTATATTTGATTTGACTCCATTTTACTGTAAACTATTATTATAAAAGACTATCTAATACAAAATAATAAAAACAGATTTATCCTCTTTCGGCAGTTAGTGACTTATTTAATTAAGTAAGCAAATGGTAATTTTACAAAAATTATAAAATATTACGCATTAACTTTTTTCATGCATTTGTAACTACTTAAATAGTGAAATAGAAGTTAAAACACAAAAACATATCTAATCGCTTTATCAAATATTAACTCATAAAACTGAAAATAATGAACAAAATAATATTGTTTATTGTGTTTGTCTGATAATTAAGGTGATTACGCTTTAATATTTTTGTACAAATTATATTTTTACTCGTCATAACAAATAATACGTTTTTTTTTTTATATAAAATACTGCATGTATTTTATTGTTTTGTATAATACAATATAATTCGAATTGTTATACACAATTTACATCACTGTCAATAATATATCAAAATGAACATTTTTCCCAACATTTGTCCCACTGACTTCTTCTTCTTCCTCGCCTTAATCCCTACTACCCACCCCTGTGCTAAACTTCCACTTGCCACGATCTCCCACATCATCTACGCTCATATCAGCCGTCCTCGTACCACATTCAATAACATTCCTACATTTCTTTTTTTGTCTTCCTCTACCTCTTCTTCCCACAACTTTCATTTCCATAACTGTTCTTCAGTTTCCAAATCATCTCTACTCCATAATATGACCAAACCATCTAAGTTTATTTTCTCTCGTCTTATCCACGTTGTAATAACTAACTATAAAAGTTAAATTAATTGATATTCAGGACATTAGTTAATTTATTTTTACATTATTTTTTTTTATAAAAACACTGTTGTGTTATTTATTAAAGCAAATGTATTTTTATCGAAAGGAAAATGAAAATCAATTTATTTCGTTTTTTTTCTCGTTTAATTCAATTCTAGAGTTTATTTAAATTTGTATTTAATGTCCACGCCCAGATTCTTAATCGCGTTGGTTAATAAACAGTGCACTTAACTGGCTAAAATCTTTAACCAATAAATATGTTTTAATTAAAAAACCTATTTAATTGAAATAAAAAGTAGTTTGACATTTACAAATACCCTTTTGTTGACTTCGTGATAATGTATTTTAATAAAGCAAAACACTAAATCAATAAGAACGAATACATAATTATATCATCCACTTTAATAACTCAATATTTTCGGTATTATATTGTCCAACCGATTGGATTGACATACAGAGATTGTGGACGCAATGAGTGTGTCGTAAAACCAAAAAAAGAGATAAACATTATGTTGGTATTGTTCGCAGTCACAGCATGCTCGACTAACACTCAGGTTCTATGGAGGGTGTCGGAGAGCCGTTGTTATAGGAAGTTAAAGAGGTAACGCGCAAAGTACAAGGTGCAGACGAAGCGCAACACACAAATACCATATGTACAAGAATGGAGTCCAAAGTACAAGACACAAATACTAAGCGTACCAGGAGAAAGATATAACACTAAATGTAATGTGCAGACGAGGTACACGAGTACATGAGTTAATCAGTAGAGTAAACGAGGTAGGTAAAGGCGTCGAAAATGAAGGAACCTTTGACGTAAGGTGAAAGTCGGACAGCGACAACCGAGTGCTGAGACTGACATTAAATCTTGTTGTGCGCGTACGGGAGTGACTGAGCAGCATGGCCCAATTGGTTTAAATAGCACTTAAATGATATTGCATATTTTCGTTTAATCGTCAGCCGCCAAAAGCGGAAGTGTCGTTATTTATTTTATTTAGAATTTATCATTACATTTTGTACAATCAATAAAAATATTTATGACGAGACACCATGTGTTCTTATTTTTTTTATTCCCTATAAAAATATTTATTATTTTGCGTTTGTTCAAAGTTCGGTTAGTTGTTACTCTCATTCAATGAACTGAACACAATTTAAACGTTTAACCGCATTGAAATAGATTTTTCTTCGAATTTGACGAGCGCGTTTCTCAAACGACAAACGCCGTGACCTTTACTCGAACCTGTTTGGTGCCAAAAACAACGTAATCCACGTGCCATGTACCGATCGAGATTGATAATTATGTATCGCACATTTACAATTTGTGTTATCTTTCTGATATTTATTGTCCGCGGTCGTGATCAGCGGTGGAGGATACGCCTACGTATTACAGCACTAATGTAACAGCACAGTGCACACACACGACTGGCGCGTTATGTAGGCACGAATATGTTCAGACTATACCTGTCGGACAGACCGTCGGACACATTATAATAATGTGCGCCGAGAGAACAGTTCAAGCTTCTTGCTATGTCATATAGTGGGCGAACGCGCTAAAAAAAAACAGTAAACTGGTTCCAGATCGCCTTGTACGGACAACAATCCACTGTCCCCCACAAAGTCCACTAAGTTATCGGAATTTATGATAAAATACAAATAAAACTTTTTTACACTTTGACATACGCCAATGTTTTGTTATTTGAAAAATGTCGGCGGTTCGTAAAATTTATATAAAAAAAAAAATCTTCTCTTAATCGAAAGCATTAATAAATTACGATTGTTTGACTATTTTTTATAAATCATCTTAATTCGTTTAATTAATTGTAATCAGTTATTACTTGCGACATACATTATGCGCTACAAGCAATCGTACAAAACGCAAATATCTCGTACAAAATTTGGTTTACAAACCAAATTACACGATATATCACCTATACTATCCAAAGACGAGTTAAATGTTTTGCTGCCCTGGACACAATGTGTTCATAAAACTTTTTCGCTTTTAAAATTGTCAGCTTATCTGGTTTCAATTTAAAAAAAAAAAAAAAAAGACTATTAGCTAAAAAACCGTTTACTTCTAAGATATGAAATTTGCTGCCTGAGACAATGACCCCTCCTGAATATGCTTTTCGAATATTAAATAAGTCAGGACAAAAAAATTAGGTCATAGTAAGAGATTAAAAATTACCTCGAGGCGCATTTTTTGTTGATCCAGCAATGGTTTTTAATACATGATTTGAAAAATTAATCGTTCTGTTACACAGGCCAAAACTTTAATAAGGAAACGTACGAGAAGGCGTCAAACCGTTAAAACTTGATTACGAACTCCTCTTAAGAACAAAGCACAACCTAATAAATATTTTTTTTGTAACCAGCCTACGTGCTAGTTTTTTCTTCTACATATGTTGTATGGACACTGTGAAATATTCACTAGATTGGCGAACAAAGCATATAACGTTACCTAGTTTTAGAGCCAAATCTTACAGAATGTTTGCTGTTAATAATAAATATATAATCAACACAGCAGAATGCTTTCGAACGTCTAATTAACCACATAGTGAACTTCTTGAAAAAGAACTAAAACGTTTAATCTCAAGAACAATGACACTTCCCAACTGTATCAATACAAAAAACAACACGGTACAATATCAGGTGCTATAGAAACCTTGAACCCGCAACGTTCATAAAAACGGTCTTACGGCTACGGTAGGCGATCATTTAAACATTCCCCCCATAATCATAATGTCACTCGTACTATCATAATTATTATAATTACAGAAAAACAATGATCGTGATCAACGATTAGACATATTGAATTTGTCTCTGGGCTATTATAACGCATCCATAGAGGTACTGGAGGAATGGTCACATTGGTACAAGTAAATGGAGCCGTTTTGATCGGTAAGGTTTCGTTGTCACAACACCGTTTTTCTTTTATCATAGAAATAGAATAGTACATTATATATTTCTTTACCTCAAGAACAGTTTTTATAAGAGTTATCCAAATTACTGAGTGTAATAAAATGTCTAGTGTTTAAACTTTTTCACTTTACACGAAATAGTCAACGGTTTAACAATAATAAAACGTCTACAAAAAATATATGTGTGTGTGTGTTCTTAAATTAATTTTAATTTTTTTAATCACATGAAGCGCTCGTTATTTTTTTAAAAAATTCTACACGGACACAAGCACTACGACGACGGCAATAGACGGTGACTGACTGACTGCAGTCAGAGAGAGCTATTCAACTAACCTCTTCTTCGTCACTCGTTTTGCCTGTACATAAAATTATGTGTACCGGACGGACAATTACCTGTCCGGTTTTCTACTACGCGAGTCTTCCTACAGATATGTGTAATAATATTATAACAATAATGCACTAATATACCTATGAAAAATCAAAACGCAGAAAAAAAAAATGAAAATGTAAACACAAAGGTGAGATTTTATGAAATGTATATTTTAATACATTATGATTTATAGGTGTAAAAATAAAAGCGTTTATATTTCAATGAAAAATTTTATCTATAATTTTTAAGATCTGATAATTGTTTGTTTTACGTCGTTTAAAAATATAAATATATTTAACAATCTGGAAAAATTAATGGAGTTTATCATTTTAAACCATTTCCATAGGAGCAATCTGCGGTGGTCTAAGGGAACTTAGCCCTTCTCAAATTTGCCATAGCTTTCTAAAATTAAATAAAATTTATATGTATTTTTACATATAAATATTTTTGAGTGAAAAAATTACGTTAGATCTCCTAAAAATTTTGTTTTAATTGCACCTATGTAAACATTTTTTTTAAGATTCATAATTGACAAGTAATAAGTTTCTGTGTAAGAAAACAAGGTACGTGCATAGGTGACACTTGATATTTTTATTAGAATATGTACTTTGATACATCTTTTCCCTGTGCTTCGGATTTTTTCATGGGTGGAATGAATAGGCAGAGTTATGGGTAGGCAATCTAAGACTCCTCAAAAATAAATTAAAATATTTAAATTAATTTTGAGATATTTGCCTAAATTTCTAAAATTAATTTTTTTTTTCAATAAATAACTTTAACTAGGTTAATTTGGGTTCATTTGATGAATTGTTAATTCAAAACTGTCCAATGAGAGCTGAGAATTTTTATGGACAGACATCACAAGACCAATACCTTCTTAGCTAAGCGTCGAAAGTAAATATCTACTAAGTTAAGCGTATTATAAAATTGATTATAATTAGAAAAATCCATTGTTAAATTCAGGTGAAATGCAAAATAATTTTTTTAGAAATGATTTATGCATTATCATGCTACCAAAAATTTGGAATACTATAGACTGGAAGTAGACCACACAAATAGAGTTAAAAAATGAATAAATAACAAAGTAAAATTATATAATTATAATAATAAATATATAAAGTATAATTATATATTTAGTTTAAATCTATTATCATATCAAACTTAATTCGATAATAAATGCTAAATAAAGCATCAGAAATAATGATTTTAATTTTGTCTATATAGAGATATTTATCTAAGTAACTTAATTGATGAATGGACATTTTTTTCAATTTTTGAGAGTAATATCTTCAACCAGATATGATTTATGATATTTTGACGTATTGTTGAAAGAAATCGGTTCTGTGAGAACAAAGAAAAAATAGTAGCAGACAAAAAAATACACATCATAGTAAAATTGATACCTTCTCAACTTCGCATCAAAGTTAATATCACAAAAACTACTATGAAAGTTAACATAAATAACTTAAGAAATTTTAACATGAGCTATAATAATTAACACATATGTTTAGAAATACTATTAAATATTTTTTCTTTTAAAAAATTTAAAAAAAAACTTGACAAACATGTTTGTTTCTGTGTGTTAACCACTGGACAAATATACTTGTTTCTAGAAAATAAACAATAACTTCGCATTTATGTAGTCTAACATGTAACAAGATTACTAGCGACATCTACCTTTCATTTATATAATCAATAAACGGTAGTTACTTTCATTAAAGATTTGTTTACTATTAATTTAACAATTTTATCATTTACGGCCATCATTTAAAACGCTGCTTTAATAACAAGCCAATTAGACTTATTTATTTGTTATGCGATTTTAAGAAATCAAGTCATTATTCTAATTTTCAATATATTGTATACTTTTCATTGGATATCAGTTAAATTATAAGTTGCCTTTATATTTATTACACAATTTTATGTTTATAACTACTTAATTTACATCTGAATAATCATTATCATGCCTAAAACCAGAAAATCCAAAGGTAAAAAGTATTCACAAAAATTTAAAAAACAGTATTCTGATAATACTGTTGAAAAGGAAACGGACTTAAATAATGGCGTTGATGATACAGCAGAAAATAGACAAGACATCTTGTTTCTTTTAAAACCTGTAAGCATACAATTATCACGTTGTGAAGTACCAAATTCTACAAATAAAAATAATAATCTAATAAACGACGACATATCATCAAAATTGGAAGATGAGATCTCAAAAAAAAATTGTTCAAGAACGGTGAAAAATAAAGATGATTCTATAAAGACGAAAAAAACTTCTAATAACAAAAGTATTACAAAGAATAACTATGTTGAAAAAGACATAGAAAAATCAGGAAAAGAAGAAGAAAATATAACGAAAAAAAATAAGAAAAATGTTACAGTAATAAAAAGGACTATAAGAAGTAAAAATGAAGAAAGTTCATCTGATGAATCGAGTGATACAGAATATGAAGTTAGTATTATTTTTTTAATGAACCTCTTGTTTTTAAAAAAATATTTAAGATTCATTTATATGTTAAAAAAATGTTTATTAATACATTACTTAAAAGTTATTATCCCCATAAGTATTAATAAATCTTAACAGGAATAGTAAATGGTAAAAAAAAATTAGAAGCTAAACTATTTGACCAATTAATTAAAATTTTAACAAAAAAAAAAATTATTTCCTAGGTTAATAAACATCTATACAAAACACCTCCCAATTTACCTTTGAATCTAAAGTACTTTTTATTGTATTCTATATAAATATGTAACAATATTTCTTAAAAAATTTCATTTCTAGGTACAACGTATTATGGAAGTCAAATTTTTAGAAAATGGGAAACGTGAATTTTTAATTCGTTGGAAAGGCTTTAGAGCTGAAGATGATACTTGGGAAAAAGAAGAACATTTAAATTGTCATGAACTTCTTGAACAATTCTTGGAAAATATTGAAAAGGTATTATTATTATAAAACATTTAATTATGTTTAAATAACTTGAATTTATAACTATAGAATAAGAATCTTTTGCAGAAAAAATTAAGACCTCATAGACAAGTAACAAAACGTTTAGTTTTGGGAATAGATCGCTTAAAAAGCAGAAGTAGTACGAGAAATCGCAAAATAATGTATGTTTTTTTAAAAAAAATTATTTTTCAAAATAAACATTATAATAATGTTTTATCTCGCATATGTATTTTTTTTAGAAATTATCAAGAAGATTAAAGACAATTCCATAGCTAAAATTTTAACTAATAATATCAAGCTTTTCAATTATGTTCCATAATCAAGGTTTTTATTTGTATGTTCTTGACTGAAAAAAAATTTATTTATTAAGACTTAAAAATTCATTATAAAAATTGTTTAAAATTTTGAAGTTTTTTTTAAGTATTTGTTTTTTGTTAAAATAAAATATGTATTAAGAAATATTTGGTATTTAAAATTTATTGCTTACTTACATTTTTATAATTATAATGTATAATGGGTGTAAAATATTCTTATGGTCATTTTAAATTAAAATCTTTTCTACACTTATATTTGTTAAACTATTATATTTTACTAATAATTATTTTAATGAAAAATTTTTATTTTTACACAGTATTATTACTTAACATATAGATTCTATAAAAAATAATTAATGTTAGTCACCTTTCTCTAAAAACATTAATTATGATAAGAAAAATTTTTTTTGACATTTTTATTTATATATACTTCTTGTTTATTAATCATTAAGTATGTTTGTTACGTCTATTATGCCTTATAAGGATGTTATCATTTTTTTCAATGACATTAATATTTGATTAGCTTATATAAAAAGAAATTATCTAACTAAGAAAACAACTGGTGGAAAATAACTCTTAACTAGTATTTTAGAAGATATAAATATTTATATACCTAGTTACAAGGTACCAACAAGTAACTCCTAATGATAAAAATAATTGTAATCAGAATATAATCTGTCTATATTTAACTTTCGTAATAATAATTTAAAAGTTATTATTAACCAGTCATTTTTATAATTAGTTAATTAAATGTATATTTCCATTTAAAAAAATAAGTTAATGCCATTATGTTACATAAAGGATGAACTTAAGAAGTATTGGATTTTTGTTAAATCGAAATATGCATTTAACTGATTCTTAATGTTATTTTTTTAGGAGAAATTAAGTGAATAATTTTTAAAAAATTATCCTGTATACTTAATATATTTATATCAGATATTGTATAGAACTTAATTGTATTGAAATAAATTATTAAATTGAAATCATTATTTATTTTGCTTTAGTTACAAAATGTATTGAAAAAATCAAATTAAATTTAATAGAAATATTTTTTTTTAATAATGATTTCAATTTTTTATTGTTAATTTTCCATGTAACAAAAATGGCACTTGTAGCTCAATTAGATCTTTAGTGTAAATTATTGATTTCTTGAAGTTAAATATTTTGCATTCAGTTACTATTTTTCATCTTAAAAATTAAGAATACTTTAATTTTTAAAAGAAAATTTTATTTAATGTTTTGTTAAATGTGTAAAATGCTCTAAAATTATTATTATTTATTAAACAATTTCTTTAGTTCCCCAAAAAGTTAAAAAATAATATTAACTTTTAAAGATTATCACTTAAATTAAACTTTATAATGTAGTGAATTTATACTTATAACAAAATCTTTAATCAAAGTTCTATTACTTAGAGGATAAACTTAAAGGAGTTAATATAGTGTCAAATTGAATTTGAAAGCTATACAATATGTAAAAGCCAAATATACTTTCACTTTTTACCACTTAGAATTTGTTATTATCCTACCATTACAATTTTTTTTTACTAAAGGTAACCTTGAGTAGATTAAAATAATCTAATGACAAAATAAAAAAAAAAGTTTAGACAGCAACATAACATTAACGTTTATATTATGTCAATGTTATCAAACAAATAAATAATTATTTGCTATTTTATACAAAACATAATAATGCTCAATGAAGTCATAGGCATTTTCAAAGAATTTTTTTATTTTACAATTAAGAATAAAAAATTAGTAAAATCTGCAACATAATACAAAATATTTGTAAATAGAAATTCCAAATGAGTTGAAACTCAAGCTAAGTAACTATACGAATCCTTTTGTCCCTCAGTTCTTTCCAAATACTCCTTTTCAATTAATATATCTATACATTTTTTGATCACATTTACTCTGGGCTTAAATCTTGATGATAGTTGAGTCAACACTTCAGCTGTCAGCTGTTGGTGTTTCATAACTTTACGCATTTTCATGATTCTTACAATAGCTGCTTGAATCAACATTTTTCTATCTTCTTCGATATGCTTATGTGTACTTTCTTGTTCAAGTTTAATTTCTTGCTTCATAGGTACATTAATATTTACACGCAGTTTTTTATTCTTATATCCAGTATAAAGACTGACAACAGAATTACCTTGTAAGCATGTCTCATCTTCTTCACACATTAAAAGTTTAGCCTTTAACAAAATTTGTAGTACTTGTACTAAATAATCTAACTTCAATTGTGTTGATTCTGATAATTGATTTATCGTCCACGATTCCTGTAGATTATATTGCAATAATACAGCCATTTGGAAAGTTGAAGCTTGTAAAGTATAACGGTTTTTAAAACAATTTGTAATCAACTCTCCTTTGGACATGTTGTACAACCAGTTGAGTTTGCGGCCTGAATGTTGGCCACTATAAAACTGAGTGAATCGCTGAACTGAACGTTCCAATTCGGTGGGAAGAGAAAATGTTAATAGATACTGGAATGGCCATGAACCAGACGATAGGACTTGTATACTGAAGTCAATATCATGAGGCATATTAGAGGAAATAATATGTTTTCTAAATGCTTCATTTAAGTCTTTAGATACACCAATGTCTTGAAACATACGTTGCAGTTTTGAAGTATATTCAAAACCACAGGCTTGTTTTAATTTTGAAATCATAGAAGCTTCAGCATCATCACTAGCAGACATATGTTGAACAAGACGTTTAGCTAACATTTTACTATAAAATTTTTGAAATACATCTTTGTCTTCAATATATTTAAACATTATCATAACCTGAAAAAATATATTTTCTCATTAAAAAATTATACTGTCCTATACATGAGACAAAGGAAAATATGGAGTAGTTCTCTGTTGTTAATATTGAACAGTTTTCGAATATAAAATAATTTAATGTTAATTATTTACATTAATATGAGAGTTGAATAAATAGACTTTTAATTTATTAATCAAAGTGTTTTAATGACAAAACAAAATAGCTCAACTACTACTACAGAGGATATACTGTTCAATGTGTATTTAATTATTTTTTCTACATGATCTTTGACTCTTACAAACTTAAAAAAAATTAATAAATATTTTTTTGTTTAAATATTTTCAATTTCTCTATGTTAGGAGTATTGTACTATTTTATGATAATATCTATAATTGTATTCAATTAATCAAAGAAAAATATGAATTATTTAAATTATAAGAAAATATATTTTTTTCAACTCCAGTCAGTTAATATTAAAATTAATATTATTTGCAAATCAATATATCTTAGTTAAGCCTAACTTAGCAGTCCCCATTAAGATTTTTGAAAGAGCAAAATATAAATATGGGAAATTTCTAATAGGGCAAATAATTTAAAAAAAACTTTAATTTAATGATGTATGAATAAAATTAAATTAAGGTGTTGATAACAGTCAGTAAAGTCCTATTTTAATTTTAATAGTTTTTTATACTTCATAATTTAGATATACATTAAAAATAAATTTAATTATCATATAATATGATTTTTTATGAAAAACAATTTATCAAAAAAAGGTCAATTTTTAAAGTACATTTAATATATTTCTAATGTATTACAAAATTATAAAATAAAAAAGGTAATTATTATCTAGGAGTGTGGTGGTCACACTAGTTGTTAACAAAACTTGGTATTAGGCTGCGCCACCGCCGTAGGTGAACGGATGGGTGATCATATGTGTTCTTCTATGGTGGCGAAAAACACCATGTTCCCAGTGCAGAAGGAAACCATTGCACTTACAATTTTCCTAGAATATACCAATTTAATTGGACAATGACAAGGCAAGGCCTTTAGTAGAGAATGAAATAAATTATTTATTATCTGAATAAAAGATATTTTATGTAATAATAAATATAATCAAAATAGAACTTTGTTTTATTAGTATTTAGAAGATTTTTGTATAGAAACTACATTTTATTTTTAGAGTAAACTTACAAAACTTATTTAAAGATTAATTATTTTATTTAAATAAGCAATTAGAATTTAAATTATATTACCTGATTCAAAGTATCTTCTAATTCTGCTTCTTCAGGATTTTTGCTTGATTTTTTTAACAATAAATCACAAAACTTGGCAAGCATTTCAGGACTTTTAGAACTTGAATTATACTGCCTAGTAACTAAATTATTATTGATGAAGCCACCACAAGCTTTGTCCAAAGCAGCTACAAAGCCTGAATCATTATTAAATGATACACCAACCAAAGCATTGTATTTTTTATGTACATCTAGGATGACGCTTACATAGGTTTTAGGATCATTAAATGCAGCTTCACCACACTTCTCTATAGCAGTTTGGCCTTGAGCCAATATATGACATTCTAAAATATTTTTTAATTCTCCAAGACCATCTTGTATACGTGAAACTAACTGGTACATACGACCGAGATCATCATTTTTTTCATAATTCAACAAATTTTGAAATTCTGCATGAAATATTTCCATATGTTTACGAATTAAAACTTTTTCACAAGTATCTGCAAGTCCCACTAAAGTTGTTTCATGTAAATAATCCCTAACTCTTTTTTGTTCTTCTTGTAATCGTTGTTCAGCTTTTTTCATATATTCTGTAACTGTGTTGTTTGCTAAAAACTGATCACTTTCCTTGATATAAAAACATTTAGTTTCTTCTAAGAATGTTTTTTCAAAAGATTCTTTATAAATAGTCAAGCTTTGACCTTTTATGGACGGCTCTTCTTCATTCAAACCAAGTTCAACATAACAATTGATAACACCACTGACTAGTCTAGTATTAATTGATTCTCCATTTCGTTCACGTTCAATTAATTTTAAAACAGCATTAGTAACTCTTTTGTGCAATTGTTGAAAAAGGCAATCTCGCCATGCAACTAATGCTAATTGATATATTTCATAAATTCCTTTACGGCCTTCTTCACATTCACGACGTACCCAGTGTCTATTAAGATATGAACATACACCATTGAGAACTTTTGAACTGAACCGATAATCTTCCCATTCTCGAGTATAGAAAGCCAATACATCTTCATCCATGAAATTTGACCCTCGACTAATCAGGTCTACAAGATAATGTCGTAAGAAATCTTTAATTCTTCGATATAATTCTAAACCAACCAACTGTGCACCTCCAACCTGAGCTGTTGATGTAGAGGTAACTTTTTTGGAACGATTACTTGGGACAGCTGCATTTTTATTAGGATTTAAATGTACACTTGTACAATAGTTATACACATGTGTATAAAGTTCCATATAACGAGGCTTTGGCATAGACTGTCGATTATAAACATGTTCAATACCGTTTTTCAAATCTCCCCATATGGTGTCAAGATCATAAATTTGTTTTGACGACATTCCGTCGCGACGACTTGACATAATTATTGCCAGGTCTTCCTAAGCTTACAGTTTGTGCTTTTTAGATTACAAACAGCTCTTAGCTCAAAAAAAAACTTTATTTCCAACAAACATAAATCGTCAAAATTTCATAACAAATATTTCACTTACCTAATTAATTAATTATACAATATTATAATAGCAAACAAACTAAGACGTTAACATTAAAAATTGAATAGTAGTGTTTTCTAAATCACTTTTCTCGTTATCTACGAAATAAAAACAAATGTTAGTTTGATTTAAACGACGGAGAAATTTTTATTTTTACATGTATAATAAAAGATTGGTCATGAACAATGGATTTGATAGGAAGTTTTCTTTTTGGAGAAACTGATGTAGTCATTTACAAGGACACCGTATATTTAACATTTTGTCAAAGACACTATAGACGCAACAGACAATCCAATGGAACGAGTATTATTTTTATCATTTTAATTCTTTTCAGAAAACTCAATCTTATTTATTTTTAATTGTCTATTAAGAAATAGATTAATTTTTTTTCTTTTATACAGTATCGGTTCAGTAAGTTAAAAAACTAAATTTGAAATTACTTTCGTATCAAGCTGATAAAAAACAGGAAATGCAAAACTCAACAGTTGATAAGAATTCAAATAACTGAAAACAGTAAAACTAGTTTAGCAAAATACAATTTTTAATATTTACTATGTGAGCGTGTGGAGTACTATTATGAAAGAAACAATGTATTCAAAAATTAAAAGTGTTTATGTCAAAGATTCTGGACACAATGACAAAGTACCACTTGATATAATGATTACGGTAGAACTAATTTACCAAAACAATGAAAAAGTATGAGACAACTAATATAATTATGTCTACATAAAATGATTTAAATCACTTAGCTAATTAACCATAAAAGTGTAACTGTTTTTTACTAATATATTTCATGATCTGGAAATTATTTGAACCACTAAATATTATCTAAATATTAAAAACCAAATTTTTTAAGTAGTTAGTATATAATTACTTAAATGTGTTTACAAAGATATTTAACCAATTATTTATTGTTAAAGTTATTTTTTTACAACAAACATTACATATAATATTTTTGAAGAAGTAATGATGTTTAAGCTAATATTAAACCAAGATCAATTTTTCATTATAAAACTATATGTGATTTTCGTAAAAAATTATCTTAATATTGCAGATTCTTTTCATATCAGCATCTGATGAAAATGATCCTCTATTTTATATTACTGCAAATATTAATGAAGATTCATTCAGAACAATCAAAGATTCACAAGATTTAGTCGTCAGTTTTGATCATTTTCCAAATCAAATTGTACAATTATTAAACAACTCCGATATCAATGAAGGACCTAGGTTTGCTATAAATATATAAAATTAGTTAGGATAATAACTCTGTAAGGTCATAAAATATCAGTTAAAAAAATTAACACTTATAAATTGGGAGTGGAATTGTATTCATTTATAATTTTTTTGTTATCTATGTTAATGTATGTGGGGAGATTAGAAGGAGAGGATTTTACCACCCAATACGAAAAATAATTCAATATTACTATAAAATCCTTTAATAAAATTGTTTAAACTTGAGGCCCTTCATAATAACTTAAATAAAATTTATAAATGAATGTAATTCCATGCATTACTTATAAATACCTCAATAAAATAACTATTTTTAAGTAGGTTTAAATTATTAATACAAGATGAATACATTGGAAATAAATCATACAAAGGTTGTAAATATATGTTTAAAATCATTGAATTAAATGAGTTTAAAAATCTGTGTCATTTGGCCATAGAAATGTCAAAACCATCTGACTCTGATGTGGCAAAAAATATTTGTAAAAAAATGAATGAAATTAAAGTAAAAATTTTTAGAATTTTAATTACGTATGTCATAAAAAAAAATTGTCAGCTAAAATATTTTTTAGAATTTAATTGATTTAAAAGATAAAGAAACTGAAATACTTAAACTAGAAGTTACAAGATTACGTAATGATATAATAAGTAAAAATAATGAATTGGAAAGGTACCAGTTATCCATGAATGATGAAAAGTGTAGTCTTACTGCTAGACTAGAAAAAGAGATCAGTTTATGGAAAGAAAAATATGAAAAAGTTAGTTTCAAATTCAAAAATTTTATCAACTATTTTTGAATCATTAAATAAATTATTAATCATTAAATAAATTAATTTTAAGTTGGACTTAGAACGGATGAAACAACTACGAGAAAAGCATGAAGAGATGATAGTTCAACAAGAAAGACTTAATGTATCACTTCAAACAACTATAAAATCTCAAAATAAGGAAATACAATCTTTATTGGCACAATCAGAGAATAAATCTCAACAGATTAGGTATGTAGTAGTTTAATATTTTAAAAAGTTAAGTACAATCGGTATCTAGTGTAATTTGGAGTAAAGACATTTTTTTAGATACTATTTGATTTGAATTTTCTAAAAAAAACTATATTATCAGTAATGTAAATATCTAAAATACAGTCAATATAAATATTATCATCTAGTTTTCAAAAAGTTATTTTAATATAAAATGAAAACTAAAAGTATCAACATTGGCTACATTATAACAATTGTAATATTTTAGGACATTTCTCTTTATTACAATAATTAAGGGAAGTTTTTCAAAATATTGGCACCAATAGCTTCAACTATATATGTTTCATGATCTTTTGATTTATTGCTAAGTGAATTGGTCTAACAAGAGCGTAATTATTGTGTCTATTGACACAAAAAAAAATGGCAGAGTAAACCTAATAGCACTTCAGCTACTCATTATTGCAAAAATTGAATATATTAAATGGTTTTTATATCAATTTTCCTAAAAACATTTTTCTTTAATTAGTGAAATGACTATTCAAATAAAATCACTAGAATCTAGAAACAAAACATTTTGTGAAGAAATTTCATCACTCGTTGCAACCAATCAGAATGTAACATCTGATAGAGATATGAAAAAAAAAATTATTGAGAGTATGCAAGCCCATATTTCTACTCTAGAAAAGGTATGTTTTATATTATTTTTACAAAACTTAATAGAATTTAATTTTATTAAATATATATTATGTTCAGGAAATACAGCAAAACACTCAATTACTTCAAAAACAAAATAACTACTATGAAATTTTAAGCAACTTAAAAGTATACTTGCAGTTTTATTATTATTATCATTTGATCTATTTTGGTATCTAAATATTTTCATAGTTTTTTTTATATATATATATATAGGAACAGCTGACAAGTGTCAAAAAAGAAAATGAAGAATTAAAAAAACATAATGAAGATAGATTAAATTCTATGTGTGATGAGTTAAAAAAAGCAAATAAAATTATAAAAAAACTCCATGAATCTAATGAAGAACAAACCACTAAAGTATCTAAATTATTGTTTGCCTCAAATAAAAACTTTTTGTAGGCCCCAGAATTATAAATTAGGCAAGATTATTAGCAACTTTGTCTTATTTCTATAAATTCTATAAATAGTTGACTTTTTTTTTACTCGAATCTTTTTTTAGTCTGTATAAAAATAGATGTTGAAATTTATAAAATTGTTCACTTACAAAATAATAGTGAACATTGTAAACAATTTAAATAATAACTATTTAAATGATTAATAATAATTTACAGAAGTTATTACTATACATATTAAAAATAATTTAACCTTTTTCCTATAGTTGATAATTTGACCAATTCAGAATTCTACAAGTTATCTTTCTAGTTGTAGCCTGTGAGAAAACCCTCCTTGTACTGTATGTATTTTTGCCTGCATTTATTAGATGATTCATTTATTAATTGAATTATTTTTGGGTGTACCATTTTCATTTTTGACTAATTTTCTGTAAAGCCATTTAAAAATTGATGATCATTGTTGCATGATTTTAGATTCGTGTTGTATATAAATGATATTTATTTTATTTTTATTATTAAAACATTCATAGGCATGTTATTTAAGGTCTAAAAAAGCAAGTAAAGTTCTGATTAAGTTAATGAAATGACCCGTGACAAACATAATAACATACCAAAAAATATTTCCTATGTTGTAGAAGTTATGGCTTATTAGTCTCAGTAAATTTGATTATTAAAATGTGATATGTGAGCCCTTTCAAATTTGAACTTTACTTTCCTTTAGTAAAATAAATAGATAAGTTGTGATAAATTTATTTATTTATTTATTTCAATATTTATTTATTTTATAATATACAAGACACAACATAATCAAATAACTCTTTCTGCGATTTAAAATTTAATTAAATTGTCTTTTTAAATACCTATAAGTATTTTTCATAAATACTGTGCTTTCCCAAAAAAATAGTTTTAATTATTTCATTTTAATTAATATATTTTTTATTTTATTGAATGTATATAGTTACTCAAGAATAAAATTATAAAAACACTTTGTAAAAGTTTTGAATGAGAAAATATTTAAAGCTTATTAAAAATCTTAACTCCCTTTAAAATTTGTTATTACACTTGTATAAACTGATAATATGTAACAATCAACTAGGTGATAACATCGTTAAGTTATACGTTACTAGGTGATAAGGTCATTAGGGGTTTATAAGGGAGAATTTTTCGATTAGTGTGTCAGCATGTATTTATGAATATGTTAAAGCTTTCATGAATTGTCTTGTTGCTTGAAGCACTTAAGGATGTATCCATGTTTACAGTTAAGTTTTGATGTTTCGGACTCATTACAGAGTCCATCTTCAGAGTGATAGTAGCTAGTCGGTAGCTGCAACTGTACTGGTCAGTAATAGTATAGTCATTCTGAAGATGGACTCTGAAATGAGTCCGAAAGTCAGAACTCAACAGTATACATGGATATATCCTTAACCACTTCAATCAGCATGTATTTAGCTGTGATGGTAACATTATTCCTAAAATATGTATATGCGATATTAATTAATTTGTGTAGCTATTTAAGTTGTATATTTTTCAGTTTTAAATTAATATTTTAAATAATATTAGCCACAAGTGATCAATTACTATTATATGACCATGATTGTTTATTATGCATTATTATTGATAAAAATAATTTTATTATTGTAGCTATTACTTAGTAAAGATATTGCTCTCAGACAAAAGGAAGATATTATTAAATATCAAAATGAAAATGATGTGCTAACAAAATCATTTGAAGAAAAGAATCTTAAAATTGAAAGTTTAACATCTGAGTTAACAGAAGTTAAAAATCGCTTGGCAACTGTTGAACAAAATTTAAAGGAAAAAGAAGAACGCATTGCTAGCAATGACAAAGGTTAATGGATATGTTATTTTATAATTGTTTCATCACTTTTTTTATTTAATTAATACTTTTAAGTAATTTCTATTATAGTGATCCATTGGTTGAACAGTAAATTAAATAACTGTGAGATCACTGCAAAACCATTAAGCTCAATATCAGAAACAAATAATATAACTAAAAGTAATATTACCGCCACTAAGTCTCTTGGAAAGTTCTCTACTTCCACTCCGGCTACAACTGAATTGGTAAGTTCTTAAATTACATTCAGGTTATTCTAAAATTAAATTAAAATTTAAATAATAATAGGACGAAAAGAAGACTAAACAAATTGGTAGAAGATTAAATTTAAAAAATGGAAATTTGACCAGGTAATTTTTAAATTATATTATACATTTTGATGATGATCTTATACTTTTAACATTCTAAATATAATATAAAAATGTTATCACTGAAAACTGTATACTGCTATAAATTAAATAGTGTTATATTATCAAAAACTGTTAATTTTTTTTTTAATCAGCAAATAATGTGTTAAAAATATTTTTAAAAAAGTCATTTTAAGGTACCTTTAAAAGACAATGCATGTATAGAAAAAAACTGGAACAATGGATAGGTAGGTGGGTAGGTTTAGATTAAATTTTCTAGAAGTTTTAGAATTTAGATTGGCTCTATTAAAAATATATCGATCAGGGACTAACAATTAATTATCTAAGAAAAGCAAAGTGATACCAAAATGTATTGAGCCTCAGAAAAAGAAACTTAACAATAACAGCATTATTACCAACCCCTAATATAAATTTATACTCAAGTTAAAAAAATTATGGTCAGCTTGCACTAGAAATCAATTACCAACCCTAAGAATCATACATTTCTACCCACATAACCACGCATTCTTCTCTCTTAATATATTAAGAAAAAATTTTGTTTTTCAGTGAAACTTTGAATAGTAACACTGATATAAAAAAAAGTGCACCAATCCGTCGTGTAATGTATGGACCACAGAATTCTGCATACTTTGCAGTTTAAACTTATTTTTTTATAACTTTGTTAATTTTTTATGTAATTTTTCAATTTAACTATAAAAATTATTATAATTATTTTATTTTATTTTTTATTAATAAATATTAATTTAAATAAATTTATTTTTAACTTGTATGTGTTTATTTATTTAATTTTCTATTTGAAGATATGTGCATTACCTTCACAAACTTTTACTATAGTATGTAATAGGTTTTGAAAAATACTGTATAATTTTTTTATGTGAGTTTTAATAACTTCTACTAGTTCATTTTTTTATTAATTAAACATACAATACTGTTGTTTATTACTGTTTCCTAGAATTAGTGATGGTAACAATGATTTTAGGACTGCTATTGGGAATTAGCAGTAACTAGGTGCTAATCAAAACAAATAATAGCAGTGACTTTTAAATCTCTGAAATGACAGAAATTTTTGACAAATTTATTTTACAACATCACAAGGCTGGACTGGGAGGCTAACAGCCCAGTAGGTACAATAATTACCTCATAATAATTTATGTTATCAAATATATTATCCTAAGGATTTTTATGCTTTTTTAGGTGTACTTTAAGGCTCTAATTTGTATCCGTTACTATTTCTTATTTTTATTAATGATTTGCCTTTGCCTTCTATTTTTGATAATGACACTAAGATTTTATTATTTACTGATAATACAAAAATGATTTATTGAATGGTGTATGCTTAATTTTCTCTCATTTATGCATTAATAAATGTCATATTATATCTTTTGTTCGTAATAATAGTTAAATAATTTATAATTATCATACTTCGAGTATTCTATTAAAAAGTTTGTCTTCAGTTTGAGACTTGGGTATTTATTTTAATTCTGGTTTAACATTTACTTTTCATGTCAATTTTACAATTGCTTGAAAATGATTGGTTTTTAAATTAGAAACATTGTACAAATTAAAAATGCATAAAATCGTTTTATTACTCTTTGGTTCGTTCTCACTTAGAATTTGGTTCTCTTAATTTATTTCCTAACTACATAACTCAAATTTGAAAATGTTCAATATAAATTTTTAAAAGTACTATCTTTTAAGATAAAACTACCTATTTCCCAGGGATTTTTTTATTTTAGTAGCGGACTCAACTGGACTTCATGCATATGAAATCAGGCGTTAATTAGCAGACTTTTGGTTCATTTACTACCTTATAAATTCAAATATTGATTGCCTTGAACTACTTAGTTCATTTTATTAGAACACAATCTTTATTTTATGTTCTTAAATTTATAATTGATTAAGCAGCTGGAACTTTATTCCCTAGAGCTTTGACACTAGACGGTTCAGTTTTTATGTATTGTGATTTTTTTTATATATCTCATGATCTTTTAAAAAATAAAATTTTATCGACCCTTTGATCTACTTTCAATTCTTAATTTTGTACTTATTCCATTTTTTTTTTTATGTATAGATTATTTTTAATGGATATTTATACTAATAGTCACATTACTTAATGTTTTCTATTTTTTTTCTTTTGTGAAAATAAAATTGTGTGAACAATATTTATAAAAAAGGCAATTTGTTCATTCATGTTATATAAATAAATATCCTAATATCTTAAAATGTTAATATTTATGATTTCATTTATTTCTCGGTAATGTATTTTTTCTAAATTATAAAAAGCAATGGCGAGTCTACTCAAATTCACGCCTCTATCTGCCAAAGTCTGAGGCTTAAATATAATATAATATAGATTATTTATAAGAGAATTTTAATATATAATATTCATTTCATTATTTAATACAACTTAATTACGTGTAAAAAATGTTGGGTTGAAAAAAAGGTTTGAATACTCAAACCTCTCTTTTTTACAACCTTAGACATTGAATTTGCCTAAGGTACATTGAAAAAAAAACCAACACAGTGGGGTCACGGCATAGTTGGATAAAGTTTAATGATATCTGAAAGTGATTTTAATAATCACTATCATAAAAAGCGCTTCGATGCAAATCTGTAGATAGTGTTTAATTTGAAAAAATTGGTGGATTATTCCAAAGCTACATTTTTTTATTTATATCCTGATAACAAGTTTTATGAAACATGATCTCCTATTTCCTTATTTTTATCCTGATTACATGTTTTATGATTTATAAGTGTAATATATGAATAAATATATATACAAATATATTATTATTTATAATATATAAATATATAAAGGGAAATGGTTATTTTAAAAAATAGTATGCCAAATGAAAGAGGGATATAAATATTATTTTTCATAAAAAATTGTATTGATCCATACACTCTTCAATAAGTTATACTACTATAAAGTTAAAAATTTTAAATATAAAATCGAGAATTTTCACAAAAAAATAGCATTTTGTAACTATTTTCACCGTGAAGACAAAATAAAGTTCGAAAATTTTTTTTCCATGATAAAGCATATATTAGCATTATAATAATGCTTTATATTAGCTTTAATTTAAGATATATATGAAAATGCCAGACTTTCAAAAGTTAATATTTTGTGAAAAAATTGTCATTTTAAATCCCCCCGTAGGCAGGTAAAGTGTCAAATTTTTTCAATTTTTGAGGGTAATGTCTTCAACTAGATACGATTCGTGATTTATTGACGTATAGTTGAAAGAAATCGGAATGGTGAGAGCTGAGAAGTGGTAACAGACACACACAAAAAAAAAAGAAAAACACATCATAGTAAAAGTAATACTTTCTCACCTTCTCATCAAAGCTAAACTGAGATTCACTATTATTCTATTATGTTCATAACTCAATCTATTGTATAACTTTTAATATTAACAATTAAGCTCTGTTTCTTATCTGGACGTTGATTGACATGTGGCTCCTTATCACGTCATCACTGTAAACACTGTGGTGCAGTCATCACTTACGATTTGTGAAATGTGAAGGGTCAACCGACTAATTTTTGGATATTGCTAGAAAACCTGAAAACTTAAATATAAAAATGTTTTTATAGAGAAATTTTAAGAACCTGCATTCGTTGGATTGTTCCAGTGTATAATTAGTAGACAATAAAATCTGCTATTTTACTCTAGACTAGAAGGTAATGTTAAATTTTGGAGTTAAAATAGGATTGAATGAATTATTAATAATCAAAAATCTTATAATAATATCATAATACTTTATTAGACAATATGGATATAAGTGATGATGATTTTTATGATTCCGATCAAAGTGATGGAGCTGAGCAAAGTTTACATTCCATGCTTAACAAAAACCTTTATGAGAAGAATGATGATTTTGATGAATATGATAAACATATCCCAGTTGAAGGAGAAGAAATTTTAGGAAGTATACAAGAAGAAGTACTGGGTAAAATTGATGAAAACGCATTACATGAAGAAGTGTTAGGTCCTATAGATACTATAAAAGACAGTAAAGAAATTGAAGACATAACCGTGTCAAACTCATCTATTGTTAAAAAGCTAGATGAAGCTGAAGAAGTTATTGTAGGTCAGGATGTTATTGATAAACTAGAAGAAAAACATTTTTTTGATAATTTAGATGATGATGATTTTGAACCTTTAAAGAAAAAACCTAAAATCAGTAATAATGATAATCAAAATATTAACCCTCATACAACTATTGTAATGAATGTACCTCAATTTATTAGATGTAATAAAAGTGGACAATCCATTCAAGTACAGTATGTATTTTGTATAATACATGAAGATAATATATATATTTTAAATTAATTATTATTAATAGAAATATTGTTTGTGGAGCTAATATGGGTTGTCGTTTGGATTTGGTAAGAATTGTTATGTGGACTAGTAACTCTGAATACAATCCTCAGCGATTTAATGGGCTAATAATGCGATTAAGAACTCCTAATGTTACTAGCCTTTTATTTCCTTCTGGTAAGATGATTATGCAAGGTGCTAAAGATGATCGTACTGGAAATTTAGCCTGTCGAAAGGTAGCTAAAATTTTAGAAAGGCTTGGTCATGATGTAAGTACAATTAAATACATTTTTGTTATTTATTTATTTTTTTAAAGTAATTTTTTAAAATTAATATTGATTTAATTTTTTAGGTGAAGTTTTGCGATTATACTATACATAATATTGTATGCACATGGGATGTTGGATTCCCTATTATGTTAGAAGAGCTTAATACGGCTCATTCGCAATTTACAAGGTAAATAAATTTTGGAATGATGTTTTAATATTAGTCGTTTACAATAACACAGGTTAACAAAATATAAATGTAAAAATGATTTGTTTATTTTAATATTAAAATTTATTTATAAAAGGCTATTATTAAATTTTATTATAATGATAATATGATTATATTCATGAAGCAGCTGAGTTTAACTGTCCCTGATACTCTTTTGGTATTGAGTGATCATCCTTCTCTATTGCCTTTTCTTCTTTTCTTTCTAGCATGTAAAAACCTCTTATCTCTTTTCAACTAATGGTTTCTTACTTGATAAAGAGAAAATGAAAAAGGCTAGCTGTGCTAATGTGCTTAAGAATACTGTTCAAACTAAAAAAAACCAGCACAGTAGGGACGTGGTATAGTTGGATCCAGTATAGATTTAATCTGACAGTGATTAAAATCACTATCAAAAATAAACGCTTCGATGCAAATCTTTAGATAGTGTTTAATTTTAAAAAAATTGGTGTTTTATTCCAAAAGCTACATGATCTGCTGGTTCCTTATTAATATCTCGATTAAGATAATGTATGTCGAATGAAAAAGGGTTTATTAAAAAATATTATTTTTCATAAAAAAATTGTGTGGATCCATAAACTTTTCAATAAGTTATAGCATTATAAAGTTAAATATAATATAAATAATAAAATCGAGAATTTTCACACGAAAATAGCATTCGGTAGCCATTTTCGCCGTGAAGACAAGTCCAGAGGTCAAATTTTTTTTTTTCAAATTAAAGTATATTACATTAGCTTTAATTTAAGATATATATAAAAGTGTCAGACCTTCCGGAACATTTTCAAAAGTTATGTTGAAAAAGTAAATTTGTTGTGAAAAAGTTGTCATTTTAAATCTCCCCCTGTGGGCAGGTTAAGTGTCAGATTTACAAAAAAAATATACTAAATGTTAAGTAAAGACATCAAGCATCTATATAAAAAAAAATTATATTGATATGTTCATTTTTGAAAAAGTTAGAGCATTATTAAGTTAAAAATATAAAAAAAAAT